GCGGGTGGTTTGTCACCTGCCCTAATCGCGAGCGTGCGTCACCGCTCCGGCGCGGCAGCTGCCCGTTGCCCCTTCCCCTATCATCACCACAGGGCACACGGTGACGGCCAGACCCTGCCCCACGGTGACAGCCAGACCCTGCCCCACGGTGACAGCCAGACCCTGCCCCGTCACAGCTGCCAGAGATGGGCTGTAATGTCCGGCTCAAAGAGCCGGCGAGCTTCGCAGCCGAAGAAATTCTGCTCAGCACAAAGCAAGCTAACACGGGGTGCGTGTGCTGTGCTGGATGTCTGGGCAACAACGTTAACCTATGACGATGAAATGGATTTGATCCATCTACTTATTCCCCCCTCCTCGCAGAGCAGTATTTCCTAAAAAATGAACGCTACCACCGCTCCTTTCCTCTTTTGAGCTTCAGTTCTCTCTGCAGAGAGCACTGCAGGAGACGGTCAGTCCTTATCCTAGAGCACACCGGCTTTCCCAGGCTCACATAACTCATACTGAAATTCACTTGACATTTTCTTCATCAAAGAGTGACTCAAGTTGTTAAAACATTTCCATTACCCATTTTCTAGTAATCGGTGTAAAAAAAAAAAGTCATCTCTTTTGAGATAACATGTAACTGAAATGTTAATCATTTAAGGTCATTATTTCCAAGAAAATAAGGAAGCAAGGGGTATCCTACTGGCTAGTCAGGGTCATTGATGGTAACTTTATAAGGCATATTATTGCCCAATATGCACGGTACACAGCCTTACCCTCCTTAACCATACTGCCCTTCCCCAGGAAGCATTTTTTTTCAGCTTAACTGGGATTGTGTTTTAAAAGTCAAGGCCATGGGCTGTTAGTAGCGTGCAAACAAGATCAACAGCTTGCTTTGAAAAGCAATCCTGACAGATGACGATTTTACACAGCACATACTTCCCCTACCAATGAAACAGGCAAAGCCATTAAACTAACCGCAACAGAAAGAAAATAACCTTGTACTTACATTGACCTTCATTTTGTTGTCTCCTATTTCCCTGCTACTCCATCCCCAAAGGAGGAGGACACGATCCCCCCCAGCCCAGTCTGCAGGGTGAGGCAGGAGCACTGGAGGGTCTAGCTGGAAGCCTGGAGAGCAAATGCCCAACCTCCTTCCACCTCCGGCTGCATTTGCTGGAGCCCCAGAGGGGAGCAGCTATTGGGAATGCAGGAAGCTAATTACGTAGCAAAATTATCTGCAGGGTGCAACTGGCCTGCAGCTGCTGATGCTAATGAGGGTCTGGTGCGGGACAGACAGCCGTCCCTCCTGCAGAGACCCCCGGGGAAATGCCTTCTCTGCTTTGCAACTGCGTCTTCATAGGAAAACTCGGGGCAGTGGGGATGAACCAGAAAGCAAGGATTGGATTTGAAAGTGTTTTTGCAGCGTCATTTTTTACTCCTGTTTTTTTTAACTTAAAGTGGTTCACGTTCTGAACACTCTGAAATGTTCACGTTCAGGTCTCTGGAAAACGGAACAGATCTCTGCAGTTACAGAAATCACTGCAAAATAATCACACTCTTCAGAGGTAGAAAACCTGAGGAGGAAAGCGAAGCATTAACTGTAGCTGAAGGGTCTTGTTTCTTTGATTAATTTAAAACAATATTATTGAGTAATAGTGTTATTTAAAATTATCTGTAGTGCCTAACAGCTCTGCCCAGGTTACGCTTATGCAAATGCACAGGTTTAACTGCTGTGTACTTGTGAATATCCTGGGGTTTGCAAACTTTTACTGGTTTTTGCCTTTGTACGTGCTGCCTTTCTCCGGCAAAAGCCTTTTCCTTCCTCTTTCCATGGTAGCTTCAAGATGAAATTAGACGCTCACTCCCAAGCCCACAGTCACATAACTAGAAGAGCAATGCCTCTTGAATAGAAAATGCTGAATTAAAAATGCTTTCTCAAGAAAATCTACACCTGTGGGCTGGGGCCAGGGGCAGACAAGCCCCTAAGGCAGTTGTCCAAATGGGAAAGAATTCCTGGCACAAAGCAGCTCATTGAATGCCTTTGGGGTTTTTCTTTTTTTTTAATATTACAACCAGCAGTTTGACTAGTTTGAACACTCCACGCAAAAGATAAGGAACAGCCGTTCACTTACTGCCCTGGAATTTTTCAGGTGCTACCAGCATTTGCAATGATCCGGAAAATGCAAGCAACAAAGGCCACAAAACTACTTTCAAATACAATTAAATGTTCTCTTGAATTAATCCCGGCCAGGACCCCTGCCATGCCGGGGCAGGGACACCCTCTGCAGGCTGTGGGTGTCCTGCACCAGGGCGGGGACAGAGGCAAGGAGAAGCGGAGAAAACTGGGCAATAATCAGGGAGCAGCAGTCCGGGACCTCTTCCCCCAGCTCTGGCCTCCTGGGCCACCGTCACCTCCATGAAGGAACTGGGGCAGGCGAGTGTACCCCGCACAAAAATAAGGCAAGCTGGGAGTTGGAAGGGGGAGGAAAGGTCTTCAAGAGCTTGCTTAATTGTTCATGGTTTATTCTTTCTCCATCACCCGAACTAGTGATTAGAAGTTTGTGCTAACTGGAAATAAAATTACATGAGGTGAAAATTCCCTGGGCCGAGACCATTTTGTCTGCAACAGATCAGATTTCCCCAGGAAAGCTGGGCATCGAGTCCACTTCCACCTGACTGCATCCTGAGAACAGCCCCAAATTTATTGACTGGGGCCCAGGAAAATGGAGACTTCACCATTCCCTCCAGTATTTCCTCTTGGCTATTTGAGTAACTGGCAAATCCTGTTTTGAAACACGTATTTGCTCCCAGGTGTCTGAGATGGAGGCTGGGGGGGGTGTGTGACAGCAGGCACCCTGGAGCCACGGGGCTGTCGCACACATCCCCGGGGCGCAGAGGAGCTCACAGAGACAAATCTCACCCTGTTCTTCATACACTTGTTTGTGGACAAGGTGGGAATAGGTAAACTGGGAATTTTGGAAGGAGAGACCAACTTCAGAACAACTCAATGAGTGTTTAAAAAACACTCCTGTTTTTCCTTTGGCAACAGCCCAGAAAATGTTGTCAAACAGCACGAGAACTATTTCCCAAGCGCAGCCCATCACCCTAACTGTGCTTTAAATTGCACCAAGAGGCGCAACATTTCCTGTGCCGCTTGTATCACAGGTGTATATGTGAAGTAACATCATTTCTCTGGCCATGCTCATATACTGAATTCATTTTCAGAAATGGTTTCCTTGTGAAGGTGGAAAAGTTGGGACACAGCGATAATTGCAAAGCGTGACCTGTCACAGCAAAGCTACTGACGGCTGGCACGTGGTGCTTTGAGAAGTCCAGATAGTAGAAAAAACACATCCTTAGTATTTTTGCATCAAGTATAACGCTCAAATATTATAATAAACAGTACTGCTAGGGCAGTAGGAACCTTACAAACAGTTCATAAATTATATAGCAGAAATAAATTTGACAACTTTCAGTTGTTACTCGGCTGAATTTGACTGGGTGTGCTATGGCTGTGTCTAGGGATCTCACCGCAGAACAGGAAACCAGCTTGCTACCATTGCATTTGTTTAGCCATTGGCAATCCATGTAAGAAAACAAAATATCATATCTAGAAACTCTCTTCTCTGTATAGAAATTAAAAATGTCCTGCATCAATTTCTGATGACTTAACGTGAAAAATAGCCTTCCTATCTTCACAGGCCTCAATGGAAAATTTTGAGTGCAAAAGAGTGACTCATCAAGCCGGCACTAAGCTTTTTCCCCCTCACTATATTTTCCATCAAATTTCCAGGAGGCATTTACATTTATTTACAGTGAACACCGAGATCATAATCCAGGATGAAAATAATAATTCCATTACGCTGTTTATTAGACTTGCAGACAGTAGGACAATTGAGGCACTGACTTGGAATCAAGACTTCAGCTTTCGCTAGCCCTTACAGCTGCAGCAGGTTATTTTATCTATGGGTATATATAAAATTATACTAGATGCAATACAAATACACAAATAAATATAAAAAACCTTATAAACTAGTTCCAATTTTTCAAAAGAAACAAATAACAGTACTTAAAATAATCTTCTGTTTTGTGTGTAATGTAGGGA